TAATTTTTAAGTAATTTCGTCATCGCCTTGTTTGATGAATCTACGAGTAGAACAAAGTGTGAAACAAATTTTTTTTTTTGATTGTGGCAAAGAGATTTTCATAAGATCAAATTAAAGGTTATAATGAATGAATAGAAATCGTTTTGATATCGCTTAGTTTTAGTAGTTTAGTAATTTATTCGGAATAAATATGTATTTTGTTAAAAAATAATTTTAAATTTATATGAGAAATATTTATTTTGCTGTTCAGATGGTGACTGGTGAAGAAAATTGGTTCAATGAGCTGCCCCCCTATGGCCAAACTGGCAGTTCGCATATGTACTGTCTGCAGCTCGTCCGCCTGAAGGAAGGAATCGCCCAGAAGCGTTTCATTGGCTAACACGAGGGAAATTGTGTTTCATCAGTACGATGCCAGACCTCTTCCATCTATAGTGACTCGTCAAAAGCTAGAAGAGCTCGGTTGGGTGGTTCTTGCACAACCATCCTTTAGTCTAGACCTGGCAACAAGTGATTATCATCCGTTACTGTCTATAATATTTTGAGAGGTTAAGCTCTAAACGCTTTCTTAGCAGGTCACTCGTATTTCCTACCTTTACGGAGCCACAAATTATTATTTAGATGTGCTAAGGTCTACTCTGCTTCCTTATTGCCTGTGCGAAGAAACACGTTTGCAATAAGTACAAAACGGACTCCAAAATTTCCAAAAGGTCTAAAAAATTTAATATGAACTTGTACAAAAGTTAATCGTCCGATGTGCTACATCATTAAGCCTGCACTTAAATTTCGGGAGAACTACATCAAACCCTTTACAATGTGAAGAGAATCAACATAGTAATGCTGTGATCGTAATATGTATGTTGTTGCGAAAATGCGAGGCGAATGTCAGATGAAAGATAAATCGTTCTGGTTTCAAGACTCAAGCGGGGAAAGGCTTTAAATGTGGAAAGCCTGGTCACTTCGAACGCGAATGCAAAACAAGTTTCAGCAGACAAGAGGTACATTGAAAACGGAAGGCAGAGAAAGATGAACCATCAACTTCTCAAAGTTATAACTCCACAATCGAGCACCGCAAGGGGAATATGCCCGGAAATACTGACGCTATGTCCCGTCGACCATGTAATATAGAATGGAAACATTGCTCAAAAGCTGAGGGTAAAGAGGACATAATAGACGTCCGGCTAATGAAAGTTACGCAAGCAGAAGAGTGGGAGGCAAGTAACTTAAGGAAATGCCAGCAAGAAGATCCAGATCTAGAATTAATAATGCACGGGTTGGAGGTAAATAGACGACCAAGTAAAGAACAAATGGCTGCGGAAAGTCCTATCGCAAAGGCATACTGGGCACAAAGGAACAGTTTAGAGCTGATATCCGGCTGTTTGCATAGAGGGTGGGAAAATGAAGATGGCCAGTGCACCCGGAAGCTAATAGTAGTTCCGAAGTTAAGAATTCCGGATGTTCTTAAGGAATTCCATAACGGTGCTAGTGGAGGGCACCTAGGCATTACAAAAACGCTTGAAAAGATCAAGCAGCGGTTCTATTGGGTTGGCTGTCGGCAATAGGTCGCGGAGTGGATTGCTAATTGCACGGAGTGCATAGCAGCTAAAGGTCCAAAGTCCCGAAGTCATGGGCAGATGAAGCAATATAACGCAGGGGCATCATTTCAGTGGGTTGCCATGGCTGTAGCCGGTCCATTCCCTATTAGCAAACAAGGAAATACCGCTTTTCTTGATGGGATATCGGTCCGCCGTGCATGTAACTACAGGGCAAACACCCGCGAGGATAGTTTTTGGTAGTGAACTACTGTTGCCTAGCGATTTAAAATTTGGAATAACTGGCGATGCGAGAAGAATTGGGAAGGTAACTACCGATCTCGAGGAAAATTATGAGTGACAAAATGAAGGCCAAGGCGATGAAGGTTTCCAAAATGGAGATTTGGTGTTGCTGTACAATCCACAACGGAAGAGGGGTTTGTCCCCAAAACTTCAATGTAATTGGGAAGGTCCGTACAAGATAATCAAACGACTAAACGTCGTAGTGTAGCGAATCCAAACCGTTGGGAGTCCAAGAAACAAGATGAAAGTGGTCCACCTTGAGAGGCTTGCTGAGTTTGGAACAGTGAATGTGTCTGGAGGGCAGTGTTGCGAAAATGCGAGGCGAATGTCAGATGAAAGAGAGAAGCCGTTAACTAGTACATTCTAGAAACGATAAAACAAAAACCTTCCATAGCGAACAATTCGATGCTTCTACGCTTTCGTCTGCGAGCAGCCGACTGCTATATAAAGGCGACACTCAGCTGCAAGTCAAGTTAGTGACAAAGTGAACTGGTTGGCGTTAACATCAGTGAAGACGTAAAGTGAACGCGTTGGGAATTACATTTAAGTAGAGTAAATTGTGAAAGTTGATGTTAGTGATTATAAATAGTAAAGTGCAGTATAATTGAATTGTGAATTACTGAGAAAATAAAGGACATTAGATAGAATCTTTATAACGAAAGAAACTGCAAATTAAGTTGGCGAAGTTTTATTTAACAATCCAGAGATCGTACCCGAAGGATTCAGAAAATCATCGAGGTTGATTTAGCAAAATCGTAACAATATAAGATAATTTTGGCACCGTTCAACGTACATTCTACATGTTTGCTAAGTAATCACTTTCTGTATCGTGAACACGTAAAGTTATACATATATATACAATATATGTTTAATTTGTAAATTTTCGAAAATTCTTTCTATTTTATATATTTTAAATATAAATTATATTATATTATTATTTTAAATATAAATTTTTCGAAAAAAAAATGTAATGTCAAGCCTCACCCACTGTTAATATGACGAAGTCAGTGGTTAATATATTCTTGTATGTACATGTGTTGTAGATTCTCAATATAAATATGTATGAATATTCATTATGTACTGATAATGGAACATATATCTTAAAAAGTTGTGAAATCATTGTGTATTTTCTTTGAACTGAAGATTACTTCAGTTTCTTATGTGGCAATTGTTTTTTAACTTTTTTTTTTAAATTCATCTCACGCGCACTGCAAATACTCATCATTGCTGTTTGTATGCCGTCATTCAGCGAACTTATTTATTTCATAAGAGCTTTCTCTCATTTCATGTTTCTCTTATATTTCTCTTATAATAATAAATGGGTTTGTATGTATGTGTGTACGCCGCGTTAAATACGAGCACTCATGCATGTGTTAAATACATACCCCACGCGGTCTATAGAGTAATCTGAAACTAACTAGAATAGCATGAGAGTACTTCGTGGAGTACCTACCGGAAATTTGTTTTGAAAGTGATTCACAAAGATGCTCATTCCATGGAGTTCATACAGAGTATAAGTTAATGGAAGAATTAAATTCGAGCATACATATGTATGTACCTTTAAGTTTCGATTAAAATTATGTGCTTTGAAAGCACAATTTTTATTGTATACTTTTTTACATTAATTGTAATCATTTATTACTAATAAAATATACATTTATTCTTCAATTTTCTTTGGAATATATGTATTAGTTCAAATTTCTAAACATTCTTTGTGAACCTACAGAGCTCAATAAGGAAAGAAACTGACTCAATTTCAGTTTCATAGATTTTCTGTATCTCAGTCTCAAACACAATTATATATTATTATATACATAAAAAAAGTAAAAAGTTTCATACAAATTTTCGTACCATTAAAACAAAAAAAAAAAATTCGTACAAATTTTCATCAAAGATGTACAAAATGTATTTGCCTCGCTTAAGAGGTTACACAGGTTTTGAAACTTCAAAAAATTAATTTTTTTATAATTTTTTTGTATCAAAGTACAAAGTGTCTACAAAGTGTCAAGAATATTTTCCGCAAAATTCAAGTCGATCGAGACGAAAGTGTAGAAATTAGAGAGTTTTATAACCATCCGTCTTTGTCATAGCTTAACCGATGATAAAACTTGAAACGCGTTTTTCTTAAGCTTATTTTAGCGAAATCGGTAATCAAAATTTCTCAACGACTATTAAAGCGATCGAGTTCAAATTTTCTACACTTCTTTTAAGCAAGTTTTTGTAGCCTCTGAGCGAAGGATTTATTTTATCTTTGATTCCAACTCATTTTACAAGACAAAAAGGGGCCAAATTTCATGCAAAAAATGACCCTTTTTTTAAAAAACGCTATACAAAATTTTAATTTTTTTTTTTAAATTTTTCTTCGTTCAGGGACAAGAAAGATTCACCTACTTTAAGAGAAAATTTGATAAAAATTGAAAAAGTTATCATGTCTATCATTTGTCTACTTCGCGGCACTGCCAACGCCTTAACTTATACTATTTCTCATTCAATTTTTCATCAAATATTGTGCACATATTGTACTTTTATATGTAAATAAATTAAATTGTATGCTTAATTTAGTATCTTTTTATAAAAATTAGAGAAAATAAGCTTTTTTTGGCCTTCAAGACCTAAGTAACCCCTTAAGCACTTTCCCTTTCTAATAGAGAGTCAAAAAAAAAAAAAAACTACTAAATGCTTTTATAGATTATTTTAGCTACAGTATTGGATTCCGAAGTACTTCCAGATTTTTTTAAAATATTTGAAAGAGATGATCAACAAACGAAACTTAACGAAATGATTTCATTTAAAATTATATTTTGAAGATTTAACACTAACGAGAGCTGTTCTTTGCGGGTAAAAACGAGATAAAATTTAATTTGTTAAATAAATAATAATGATAACTTTTCCCAATGCAAACGAAACTTTCTTAATATTTAATATTATAAACTATTCCAAAATGGATATATAACCTGTTTGCATCAAGTGAACACCAGTTATAATCTTTTTACTGCTGGTTGTAGATTGATATGCCGGCTATGCCGGTGGGGTTTAATGTCATGAAAGAATATGGTACAGAATGATGAGTATCTACTCATATGTAGTGCAAATATACATACATGTGTACTTAAGTACATATATATTTACTTATGTATTAGATGCATATCTCATTTTGCCGGCAAGGCAAAAGCTTTATAAAGTGCTCAGCTGCCAAAGCAACATTAGTTGATATTTTGCCTTGCTGCTTAACGGTTCTAGTGGAAATTCTCTTTACGCGGAAAAGTGAGTGTTCAAATAAAAAAATTTATACACACAAATGTGTACATATATACATATGTATTTATAAAAGTGCATTTGGGAATTGTGAGAATATTTATTTTAGCACAATAATACGCGAATTATCTATATTATAGTCACTTTTTTCATTTCACTCTTCTTGTGATATACATATGTACATATGCATGTAGATAAACTAAGATTCATTTGAAAAAATATATAAGCATATACCCCTGTATGCGAATTTAACGTTTTATACGCGATCAGTGTTTTGGAATGTTAGTGTCATATATATATATATATATATATATAAATACATACATCCATATGTATTTCATATAAATTTGTATGTACATATGTATGTATCCATAAGTAGGTGTGTATCTTTTATAAGTAGGAATATGGCTTAGCCTAATCTAGATAACTAAAGTAAAATTAAATATCAAGCCCGCCGACTGTACTTGTGGCATGAAATAAAGGCGGCCGTCTTTAATAAAATCCAACAGCCGTTGGGAGGCGGCTTAGTATAAACAAACTGTAGGTCCCACAAATTGATGGAGGAGCTCTAATTAAAATCGCTTCAACGGTTAGAAAGCGCATATTATATACATATATGTATATGTATATATTTTTCAGTAGTTAAAAATTGTTGTTAAAACAATGAAAAAATATTACCACATTTGAACAATTAATTTAGGAATTTAATACTACATTAGAGCATAAATATTAGGTCTACCGGAAAGTTCTGTCCGAATCTATGACATCATTATCGCCACGTAACGACGTGTTTATTTTGTGCATGTGATATGCATTTTTTACATACATATTGAAATAAACTTTAATAAAGTTGATTTTACATTAATCTTAAGTGTGAAACGATAGCGTACCCATGGCGACTGATAAAGTGCTTTCCACTGCATTTTAAATTTATTGGAGAAGGTACAGTTTCCGATATTACATGCAGAAAGAAGATGGTGCGAAAAGTTTGAAAAAGTTGATTTGGACCTTTGTGATAAGCCACCGCTTGGGCGTCCATCTTTGATCGACAACGATGTTGTTAAGGCAAAGTTGGAGCAAAATCCTTTTCTGACAACATCGGAGATCGTAGAAACGCTTACTTCAGCGCAATAAATTATTTTTGACCATATTTGGAAGATAGGAGAAAAATTTTTAATTTGTTTTTTTTTGAAAAAAAAAAAAAAAATATTACATGTATTACATATAAATATATAATATATATTACATATAAAAAAAATAATAAATTTAATTTTCTTCCCCAACAGAGACAACTACAAAATAAATTAAAATGGATTTCTATTACTTACCCGGTTCGGCTCCATGCCGTTCAGTACTTTTGACCGCCAAGAGTCTTGGCATTGAACTGAATAAGAAATTATTGAATTTACAAACTGGCGAACACCTTACACCCGAATTCTTGAAAATCAATCCGCAACACACCATACCGACTTTGGTGGACGATGGTTTTTCATTGTGGGAATCACGTGCTATACTCGTTTACTTGGTTGAGAAATACGGCAAAGACGACTCATTGTACCCCAAGTGCCCCAATAAGCAAGCTGTTGTAAACCAACGTCTTTACTTTGATATGGGTACGCTGTATAAATCATTCTCCGACTACTACTACCCACAAGTATTCGCCAAAGCGCCAGCTGATCCAGAAATGTACAAGAAGATTGAAATTGCTTTCGAATTCTTAAACACCTTTTTGGATGGTAGCAAATATGTGGCCGGCGATCAAGTGACTGTGGCTGATCATGCTATTTTAGCTTCAATTTCAACATTTGATGTTGCCGGCTTCGACATCAGCAAATATGCCAATGTGGCTAGATGGTATGAAAGTGCTAAGAAATTGCCAGGTTGGGAGGAGAACTGGGCTGGTGCTCTTGAATTTAAAAAATTTTTTAATTAAGCGGGCGACGCTCAGTTTTAAGACTTGTGCATGTATTTTGATTTGCATTTACGTTTTGTGTAAATAATAATTTCTGTGATTTGTTCACATATTTGCCTTTTAATAAATATCTTACCTATATATAAGACAAAAAAAAATATTGAAAATACTGTATATATATTTATTTTGTACTTACAACGGGTAAGTGGTGGATCTTTTTTTTTTTGTTGGGAATGAATATTTGTCGTAACAAGCATGAAGAATCGCTACCACAAAATAAAGGAACTTTTGGATACCCGCTCGTTCATCCATCCTTATTGCCACGTAAGCCTGAGCAAAGTACGGATTCCTTAATATGTATACCATCTAGTATTTCATGGAGGTATTGTAAGGCAGCTAAATCGAAGCAAAGCCGCGTCCTCAATCGCATTATCAATCATAATCACGAAAAAGGGATGGTATTCGAACGCACCTATCCACACAGCCAGGATTGAAAAGTCCTGGATTGATGGTGGAATTACTGTCTTGGCCGCCATACTCTCCCGACCTAAACATTATAGAAAATGTTTGGGGATGGCTGGCACGAAATGTGTTCGAGTCCGGCAAGCAGTATTCAACTGAAGCAGAACTAATTGAAGGAATAAAAAGGTCCTGGGAGGCTGTTTCACTCAATTATATAAAAAAAATTATATGACTCCTTACCTCAGCGGATGTACGAAGTCATACTTAACCGTGGAGGCTCAATACATTATTAATTTGTTTTCAAAAAAAGTTAAAATTATTTAAATTAATATTAAAAAACAATTTGAATGAAGTTTGAACCCATTTTCTTTTGTTATTTTAAGTTTTCAAGTGGCTGTGCTAATCGGCTGTCGCAAAAATAATAGAGAATTTTGTATGTTGTTTGTTTATAGTAATTTAAAATGTTATATATAAAGTTAGTATCCTATCTTCGTGTGAAATTATATATTTTTTTAGGGGGAAAAAATTATTTGAAAAGCTTTTTTAGTTTTCCTGATATTAAGTTTCTAAGACGAGCAGCATAGGGTGTGCTAATCGGTTGTCGCGCAGTGTATTTGATCAAGCCACATACATATATACATATGTATGTATGTATGTAAATATGAAAGAATTAAAAACTCATTTAAATACGTTCAACATAAAATACATTGCCATAGTTTCAGAAGTGTTATCTCCATATATTTATATGTATGTATATGCATGATAAATAATACAAAAGCAATTATTTGTGACTCAAACGAAATTAAGTAATGACCCTGATTAACAATATTTTGGGTACCTCCATGAGCATTGATAACGCATTTTTTGATAAGAAAAAAAAAATCAGAAATAAGAGTGGGACCTCCTATATAAGCTGAGTTGGCAACTGATTTTTTAATTTTCAATTACATACATATATGTAACAGTAATTATGTATATACATATATATGGAATTTCCAATAACATCTATTATTTTGATATTAAAAAAATGACTTTTCTGGAATAAAAGATCGGTTACTTACATAAATGTAATGAAGAAGATATGTCTGTAAATAATAAAAAAACAATATCAATCATGGTAGAACTACATGACTTACAAGTGTTTTCCATCGGTATGTAGGCGAGTAAAGATTTACTCGTGTATGGGCTTGTGTGCATCCGAATGCATATTGGCGAAAGCTTTCGATTTTTTGCAATCGGTGTGCGCACAGGTTTGTCGTGTATGCTGCTGTGTGCGACAAAAGCTCATTTTACTCGTGCCGTCGAACAGTAAAAATCGCGGAAGAACATGGCATGTTTACTCTTAAAAGAATGAGCTTAACATGATTTGGTATGTCGTGTATGGCTACCTTCAAATCGGCGCCACTGCTACGCTTACGGGACCGTATCCTTTTGATGAAATTTTCCATAACCAAATTGCAAAGTGGCTGCTGTATGCTCTCAATAGCTTTCCGAATTCCATCTATGAGGACTCAAAATGATGTTGGGCTCACGTGGTTCCAAAGGAAGAAGTCGTTAGGTAATTGCGATCACCTCTTCGAGAGATAACACAGTTCGGAAACTTTTCCTTTAAAAGATTGATGGTTTCGTTGCTTGTGTGGCACATCGCGCCGTTTTATTGAAATTAAAGGTCAAGATCTATACAAATCGATTCTCGCCATAAAAACTCAATAATCATTTCTCGATAACGCAATCCCTTTACAGTTACTGTTGCCTCAGCCAAGGTCCAATAACCCCACCAAACCATAAACCGCACCAAACACTTACACGTGGAGGATGGATGGGCTTTTCAACAATAAATCTTGGGTTTTTCGAACCCCAGATGCGACAGTTTTGCTAATTGACATAGCCAACGGGCTGATAATGGTTGACATCAGTCGGGATGATTTTTTGATGAAATTCCTGATCAATTTCATCTATTTCAAGGCTCCAATCAGCAAAGACACGACATTGTTGGTGATCGGTCAGCTTGAGTTCTTGAGTTAACTTAACTTTATAAGCCATAAGGCTTGGGTCTTTATGCAAAATTATTCCAAAGAAGGAAACCTGAGTTAACTTGGGTTTTTGGGCTAAAGCACAAGTTTTCTTCTTCTCTTGTCCCAATAGCTTCATTTTTTCCACCAATTTCTGTATTGTGGCCCGACTACCGAAAAATGTGTTAGTTTTACGAACCATATCTGCCAGGCTTTTCACCACTTTCATGGTGAATTTTCATAATTTAGAAGTGTTGTTGACGCCTGCATCGTTTAAATCTTATTTATTACTGGCGTAGTTTTTACTTGTCAAATGACAAAAAATTACAGCTTCGATGGTCACATCCACCTAAAAAGCAGGCTATTAAAAAAATAACACCTCAGAAATACACTCGGAAGTTTCGGCACTCAAAAACTATTATCACATCAAATAATCAAATTATATAATTTTTTTAAGTAATTAGTTTTTGGTTTTCGATGGAAGATGCATTCTAGAACATTCTGTTGGGTATACGCGATAAAACATTATGCCGACTCATGGGGAGAGTACTAATTTGGCCAAAAGCTCCATCAATGCATAGTACGGAGGTGTGAATGCTAAACAAACGTTAGTTGTTTTTTCGCACTGTTGTTGAGCTGAACACATTTTGGAAAGTAAGTGAGTTTGTACAATAAGCATGGTGATGTCAAATACATAAAAACAAAAACTTAAGTGGTTAATAACAGCTGGTTTTAAGTATAGTTTTTCATACTGAAGCTTAAGATTTTGTTCGATCCTTTTTGAGCAACAAGCACTCGCACAGTTCTTTATTGCTTATTATTCCAACTTTTTCGATCTTTTTGAGCATTTTGAACAAAAATATAAAGTTTTTCAAGAATGTTTGCCTATTATTTTTAAATTTAGCTAAGGTAAGTGACAAAATTGAAAATTGAAAAACTTCCAACGAACATTTGGGCGGTAGAAAACCGAACGAGTATCGATCGAGAATCGAGTTGCGCACATTACTAGCGTCTCTTTGGTAAGAAAACAAAGATATAATCTTAAAATCGAAATCACACTAACTTGGCTACAGGCGGCCGCAACATCCTAACCAGCAGTACGTACTGCCATTCGAGAGGACACGGTTCCAGTCCTGGCTCGATCACCATCCAAAATTATAGAAAACTAATTTTTTTAATTTCGATCGCCCCTGGGCAGCGAATGACAAACGTCCGAATGTATTTTTGACATGAAATAAAGGATCCTCACAATAATCCATCGGCCGTCCGCAAACGGGTTAGAATAAACTGTAAGTCCTTGCATTATTTGGGAAAACATAAAGTCGCATTTGCCTGACTATGAAGAAGGTCGAATAGCAGACAACAAAGTGGCGGAGGCAGACAGATTACCGGTCGAGTTATTTAAATACGCCGATAAAGATCTGATAAGGTGCATTCATAAGCTTCTTTGTGAAATGTAATCAGACGAAAGCATGCCTGATGACTGGGATCTAAGTTTGCTATGTCCAATTCCCAAAAAAGACGATACCACGGTCTGTTGAATTACCGTGAGATAAACCACCTCAATATCACATATAAAGTCCTATGGAACTAAAGCCCACCGTCAACAAATTGAATGGACCTTATCAGTGGGGCTTTAGACTTAAAAAATCAACCAATGACCAAATATTCACGATGCCTGGAATCTTGGAAAAACCCACTTCTTCGTCAATAACTAAACTAGGCCTCTGCAGTAAGAAAGGTGCCGCCTCTAGGCCGTTATGTCTGAGTTAAGTATCTCTGAAAAACTTATACGGCTAGGTAAACTGCCGTTAATTAGCACCTAAAGCTCCGTGAAGATCGGCAAGGACCTATCCAAGACGTTCTATACCAAATGAGGTTTCAGACAGAGTGACTTCTTATCGTGTGATTTCTTGAATTCTATGCTGAAGAAAATTATAAGAGCTGCAGAGCTGAATACAGAAAGTACAATCTTCTCAATGTATGTGCAGCTGCTGATATGGAGATTATTGGCGTCCAAAGCCGCGCCCTGAGTCCAGCTTTCTTCAGACTAGATAAGAAAGCGAAGGATAAGGGTCTGGTAGAAAGGGGGGCAAGGCGAAATATCTCCTGTTATCCAACAAGTGGGACATTTTCCACTCGGCTTCCATGTCGCTGTTGACAGTCATAACATTGAAGGCATATCTGGAAATACCGCGCAGAAGCACTCTTACCAAGAGGAGCTACTTTGGACTGAGTAAGCAATTGAAAGCCAAGTCCTTTCTCGATGAACGACAACCAAAATCTACAAGTCACTCATCATTCTCGTCCTGCTAAATGGTGCAGAGGGTTGGACGATGACAACATCTGATGAGTCGACGTTAGGAGTTTTCGAGAGAGAGATTTTGCGTAATATTTATGGTCCTCTACGAGTTGGGAAAGGCGAATACCGCATCCGTTGGAACGAAGAGCTATGCGAGATATACGGCAACACTGACATATAGTAGTTCAGAAGATCAAGGAACAGCCATACAACCTATGTATATACATATATGCATTTGTTCCCATATGAGTAAATATCTGTATGGTCGATGACAGCACTTCGTAAATCTTTTCAGAGATATGAAATTTAACTCAAGTATTAAGTTTTTGTCAAGTCATTGTGAAATAGCTGTCTGTGGTATAAACATTCATTGTAGCTGACTAATAGGGTACATACTCGTATATATGTATGCACGGAGAGGGGGGTTAGATGTGTCGGTTTCAGGGGGTTAGTGTCATGCGACTCTCGTTACATTCTCGGCATACGTTAAGTAAGTAACCTGCTACAATATTCAGACCTAAGTTTCGTCAGTATTACGCGGGTCTCTCGATCCAGTGCGAGCTCTTCATCTGCTATGGGTGGTGATTTGACTTCGAGGATGCCATTCACAGGGAGGGAGTTTTTGAAGGTGCTGACTGACTCCTGGTGAATGGTGTTTAGTGTCTGTCTGTATGCCGTTTTGTTCAGTGGTTGTTGAGCATATTCCTAAATTGTGTCCTTCATATCTAGCACTAACATTCTGATGTGGCTGGGTAGTGGTTCAGCATCTATTAAATGACTGTTGAGCTGCTCCGCTCATAGCAGAAAATTTGTTTCTATATAAAATTATTAAAAACTCTATCTTTTTCCCTAGAATTTTTCATAATTTTAGACGTTTTTGACATTCTTTATACATACCCATTCGTATTAAATGACACCAAAAGTAGGAGTTGCTATCTATAGAAATTTTTGTTGAAAAATAATATTTATTTTCATAATATAAACATTTTTGAAAATTCAAATACATTTGTTTTGACATAATCAGCACTTTTTAATTGTAATTGTAATAGAAATTGTTATTAATTAAAACTAAAAATTCCATGTAAGGCTTTAGGGTTTAATAGTAAAAAATGTTACGCTATTTCATAGCTAAAATTTTGCAAATTCATTTTAAAATTTTTGGCCACCCAAAAAAATGAACCAACTTCGTCATTAAACAAAAGATTTCGCTCTTGTCCTAACCTTCTATTCTATAAACTATGTTTTTTTTGTAATAAATTACTTAATTTTTGTTTTATTATTTTTTAGATGGATATCACTCTCTGTGGTTAGCGTGAGACAACTTATAAAGCTACAAGACTTGAGTTTACGCGGGTACACTTTTTTTGACGAAACACTCGTTTTGTAGGAGAGCGAGCGACGACAAAGAGGGCAGTGTACCTTGTCGCTTCAATCGTTTTGTGGTTCTATTCTCTTTTATTTTTATTTTTCATAACCATTAACAGAGAATTTGGAAATATCTGTAGATGTCTTAAACATATGTATACATATGTTTGTATGTACATATCTAATTGTTAACATTTCATTTAATGGAGTTTGCTGTTGAGGTTGGATTAATGCAAGAAATATTATAATGTATTGAGAAAGAAAGAGTGAAGAAGTAATGTCAAAAAAATTGCTTGAAAGAGGTATCACATGTTGACTCAGACTAAGATGACACAGCATATTATAAGCAAATACAAATTTTCAATTATTCTGAATGTGATAAGTGCTTAGATATATGTATGTATGTATATTCGTGAAACTGGCTCTCATGCACTTTTAGCAGTGACGTCGTTTAGATCGATACAGCGTAGAGTGAGCTTATTTCTATGGCACTCCAAATATGTAAAGCATTACTCTCTGTTTATATTTACGACCATATAAATATATATACATATATACATATATATACATATATATATATATATATATATATATATATACATATATATACATATATGTATATATATAGATAAGTGACCAAGCATTTTTCGCTTATCGGAATACCTGGAATTTTAGTTTATTTAGTAAATTTATTCAGTGTTTGCCTATCAAAACGCTTTCGTCTTTTTTATTGTACTAAATAAAAATAATTATAGGAAACCGAAAGCAGAATTGCCTTAGAAACATTTACGAATAGAAACCATAGTAGGAGGAATGGTACTGGCTACTAAGAGCGTGGAACAGCCGCAGTCCGGCAGGGATTTTATTTTGGAAGGAAAACCCATCGACAAAGCGGTGAGTGAGAAAAGTACCTTCTTAGTGTTGCATTATGCAAATTTAAATTCTTCTTGGATGTACTTTTTGATTAATAATAACGCATTTAATAAATTAGAACTTGCCATTTCCTTAAGAGGTGAAAAATTTGAAATCTACAAGTAAAAATGATTTTCATAGCCATATAAAGGGTTTTCCAATCGGGATGTTATGATTTCTAAGCGTCGTTTCGGCCATTTTTAATATGTCACGATTGGTCTTTTTTTCCATTGTATTCAATTATGTTTACAATGTCATCATGGCAAGATATACGCAAGTTCAACGTTTACAAACAACAACAACAACTTGAACATGATAACGATTATTTTAACAATCACCTTCTCCGTTGTGACTCATTTTCATCTGAGTGGTGCGGTAAATAAACAAAACTGCCGACTCTGCAGCAAAGAGAATCCACAAATTATTCACGAAGAACCATTAGATTCACCTAAATTGGCAGTTGGTCTGATGGAATCATAGGTCCATAGGTCCGAAATGAACCTGGTAGCACTGTTGCTGTCAATGGAATACCGCTCTCCGATAACCAAATTTGTATGTCCACAGTTGGAAGATGTTTATCTTAACGTGCAACACCTGCGTAAGCAAGTTCCTGTTATTTTCTTGTGTTCTCGGTATTAACTTGTGTCTTCTTCTTCGTTTCATCGTTGCTGCAGGTTATTATTTTGCTGTTGTTGTTGTTGTAACCGCAAAAGTATCCTACAAATTAAGAATAAAATATCCCGGTCGTTCCGGTATAAAGAACCGACTGTCGCGAGAACTATTGGATTTTAATTCTCTCTTACGACAGGCATGCCTTAGCGCGAGTAAATTCTTGAACCCCTAATTTGCAGTGAGAGGTGGTTCTATTGATACGGGTTGCCATATTGTTCGTGTTACCGTACGCAACAAAGAAATTATTTATTTATTGTGTCTCTCGCCACAAGTACACCCTTTCTGCGAGAATGAAATCAAAATAGTAAAATTATTTATTGATAACAGATTAAGTAGTTTATAGAAATCTGAAATATTTTCGTGTCGATGGCGTAGAAATTGAGGTTTCTCATGTGACGATGGCGAAGTAAGCGTGGCGTTGCTGTCTTCTGAATCATTGACATTTTCGGCGTTGTTATCATCATCGGTTAACAAAAATACATTTTCGAGGCGATCGATTGAAATCACTGTATTATCTCACCTCGAATTTCTATGATAAAATGCTTATCAAGTACAATAGGTAACATATCCACCCACGAGTTGTTTTCATGACAGCGAATTGCTTCCTTCAAGTGGCGGTGTAGGCGTTCGCCCATTCCATTCGACTGTGGATGAAACGCAGTTATGTGTATATGTTTGCTGCCGAGGAGGCGAGTGAAAGCGCCAAAGAGCTGACTCTCGAACTATGCCCCCTGGTCGGTCGTAATTCGGAGCGACACTCCATAGTGGCATATCCAATCAACGGGCTACACATTCGGCTCCAATATTTTCTACTGAAAAAGTCTCTAGAAACCTGTTAAAACATAATGATCGTAAGGCAGATACAATATCCTTTAGATAGGGCAAATGGTCCAATGATGTCCACGTGGATATGTTCATCCTTGTTGTATTTCATTTTAATTAAAAATCCCAAATTTCCAAATTAATGTGTTTTTTTTTTGTTTTAAATTGAGATGATCTTATTGGAAAACCCTCTATTTATCAACATCACATTAGTTCCTTAGTAATTGATTTAGCAGAAGGATCTTACACTGTGCCATGCATTGGTCTATATTTATCCATTAGAGTTTCCTTTTGAAATGTTGTAATATTTTTCCATTTCAGATGTGTAAAGCCGGAATTTTGTTATGTTGTGTTATGTTATGTTTATGTAATTGGACATCCAGCTCGATATTAATATTGCGTGAAGTTGAAGAAAAGATTTTATCCTTCGTCAAAACTCCATATCGTGGATTCTTCGTAGATATTGGCCCGACCGTTGGCGACGCTGATAAAATATGGACCATCAGTATGAATACAGATTCAGAAGAAGAACCTCTGGTTCTGTTACACGGATTAGGTGCAGGAGTTGCTTTATGGGTATTGAATCTAGATTCTTTTGCTAAATATCGTCCCGTATACGCAATGGATGTATTGGGCTTCGGGCGTAGTTCTCGTCCTACTTTCTCTAAGGACCCACTCATCTCTGAGAAACAGCTTGTAAAGTCAGTAGAAGAGTGGAGACGGAAAATGAACATTAATAGAATGGTATTGTTAGGTCATTCAATGGGAGGATTCATCGCTTCAAGTTACGCACTATCATATCCTGAGAGAGTCAGTCATCTTATATTAGCTGATCCTTGGGGATTTCCAGAAATGCCTGCTGACTTACTTACCACAAAACCCTTATGGCAAAGAGCATTGGTAAATGCTATAAAACCATTGAATCCACTGTGGCCATTACGTGCGGCGGGTCCATTTGGTCAATGGATGCTACAAAAAACGAGAGCGGATATTGCACATAAATTTAAAACAGCTGTAGAAGATAATACCAAGGTGATTCCGCAATATATTCATCAATGCAATGTTCAAAAACCTTCTGGTGAGTCGGCGTTTCATGCTATGATGGCTTTGTTTGGTTGGGCAAAATATCCGATGGAACATCGTTTGAAGGATCTTAGAGTGGATATACCTATAACTTTCATATATGGATCGGAGTCGTGGATGGATTCTTCCTCAGGTGAAACAATTAAGGCTCATCGTGTAGATTCCATAGTCGATATAAAAATGGTAGACGGTGCGGGTCACCATGTGTATGCAGACAAAGCAGACATTTTTAACCGCTATGTTAATGAGGCCTGTGAATTATATAAAGCTTCTGCAACAAACATCGACGTACGTGATACGACGAAGTCGGATAAAGAAGTAAATGATGGCACTTTACAAACTGAAACGCAACAAATAACAGTGCATAGAGATCAAAATTCAGAACATACTCTGTCTGATGGTCAGCACACCATGGGGCTGCAACAGGCCTGAAACATCAATAGCTTACCAAAATATCTGTATATGTATATGTATAGATCTGTATTAATCATTGTATATCATCCCATTAATATGTTAAAAATATGATTTATGCATAAAGAATCCTTATTGTAAATACAAGTAGACGCTTTAGTGAAATGCCGACGGCAAATCAATACTTTTTCAGGGTAAATAATCGATATTTACTACATAAGTATAATTGTAAAAAATTTTAGTTTTATCGAGAATCGATTTTAATAATACATTACTTTATAATTTATAATGTTTTTGACTAGAGAAAAAAGATTTCGTAAATTTAATTTAAATGACGGTCTTTTACTTGATTTTTATTTAATGTGTTTCACACTTTTGTTATTGTCCGTTTCACCTTCGATTCTGACGCCTGAACAATATAATACCGGGTGCCTAATTCGAAAAATCTGACTCTTTCATCCCAATTCTAAAATTTTCAAATAATATTTTCGTTTATTTTGGAAACAAGCATATAAAAATTCGTTGTCTGAAATTAGCATGATTCAATAATAATGTTATTTAATAACGGAGATCTACATTTTTGAGCATAGTTATTATAGCTGAGAAGGAAAGAATGAAGAAGAAACCAACTTGGTTCAAGAAAGTAAGGGAAATTACGATAGCAAACGACAAAAAGTAGCGCCATGTAAACTCAGGATTAAGAGACCAAGTTGCGCTGAAGCCGGAAATACCTGAAGTTATCTTAGTTTTATGTAACGATTCAGCAGCGATTCGCAGATGGAAATTCGGTAGAAGGAGTTTTTTTCTTGTTATTCATATTACACCCATACATCCCAACTTCTCGGTGTACTCAGTCCTCCTCAAGTGATTCCGAAATCTTAACTGTGGTCGCATGTTGTTCAGACTCGAAGACTTTCTATATTTAATCGACATTTTCTCCAAACGACTCCACATTGTCGAGCATCCTTATCATCAAAATTATCCGTACGAAATCGGCGAAACAAAAACTCTGTGTGATTGAATGTTATAGCACCAGAACCGTAAACATCAACCAACCTTTATCGAACAAAAATTGTAGAAAATAGCGTTTTTCTCGTTGCTGGTGCCCATCTCTGCCATGCGCTAAATCGGAACTAACAAGTACAGCCAGGTCTTTCTCTACCTGGTCTTTCCAATGGGGGGGAAGTCTTCCTCTTCCTCTGCTTCCACCGGCGGGTACTGCATCGAAAACTTTCAAAGCCTGAGTATTCGCATTCACCCGGACCACATGATTCGCTGAACTAGATCAATGCCGTTGTATAACTCCTACAGCTCATCGTTCCATCGTCTGCGGTATTCGCGGTTGCCAATGCGCAAAGGACTATAAATCTTACGCAAAACCTTTCTCTCGAAAACTCCTGGCGCTGACTCATCAGATGTTGTCGTCGCCCATGCTTCCACACCATATTACAGAACGGTAACGATGAGGGTCTCGTAGAGTTTGGTTTTCGTTCGCCGAAAGAGGACTTTACTTTTCAATTGCCTACTCAGGCTAAAGTAGCACCTGTTGGCAAGAGTGATTATGCGTGGGATTTCAATGCTGACGTTATTATTGCCTTTAATGCTGGTTCCAAGATAGACGAAGTAATCTACGACTTCAAAGTTATGACTGTCAACAGTGACGTGGGAGCCAAGCCGCGAGCCAAGCTGGAGATATTTCGTCTCCTTTTTGTTCACTGCCGGACCGGTATCCTTCGCTTCCTTATCCAGTCTGTAGAAAGCAGAACTCGCGGCGCGGTTGTTGAAGCCAAAAATGTCGATATCATCGGCATACGCCAGCAGCTTTAAACTCTTATAGAAGATTTTACCTTCTCCATTTAATTTCTTCAGAACTCGCACGAGAGTGAGTCATCCTGTCTGATACCTCTTTTGGCATCGAACGGTTCGGAGATGTCTTTTCCGATTCTGATAGAGCTTTTAGTGTTGCTTAACGTCAGTTTACATAGCCGTATAAGTTTTGCTTGGAAACCAATTTCAGACATAGCGGCTCCCATTCGTGCTGTCGAAGGCGGCTTTAAAATCAACGAAAATGTGGTGGATGCGATCGTCTTTTCACCGGTCTTTTCCAAGATTTGGCGCATGGTGAATCCAGGTCTGAGGCTATTCTGTTAAAGTCCAGTCAGATTGTTGACGGTGGGCTTCAGTCTTTCTCACAATTTCCTCGACAGGACCTTATAGGCTTGGGCCAAGATAATTGGCGCAGACTGTGAGATCACATTTCTTGTGGATTGGGCAGATCACTTAAATTTCAGTCGTCGGGCATGCTTTCGTCCAACCATATTCTGCGAAATATCGTATGCATGCACCTAGTCAGCTCTTCACCGCCATGTTTGAATAGCTCTATCGGCAGACCGTCAGCTCTCGCTGCTTTGCTGGTTTTTAAGCGGGGGATTGCTATTCGAACTTCTTCATAGTCATGATAGACGTTCCATTGCCTTTTCCATCGTCACCATTGGGGTCTCGGTCTCCCTATCACCGGTTTCTCCATTCTCACTGCTATTCACCAGACTGGAGTAGTGTTACCCCCAAAAATTCAATTTACTCTGGGCATCGGTGGCTAGATCACCTCTTTGTGTGATGGTAGGCAGTCTGTTTTCTCTCCACAGTGGCACGGCAGTCCTCGAAGAACCAGCTATTTTTGCGACCTTTCCGAAATCCAATAGTCCCGTTTGCAACTGTACGTAAGGAGTTTGCGATGAAGTCCCACAGTTCCCTTATGCTGGGTTTATGATGAGTGCTCTCACAGAGCAGGTGTGCAAGTCGGGTAGAAAACCGCTAGGTATTCTGTTGTGATTGAAGCGACGAACCTTCATAATGTTTGTTGATGGGCGTTCTTCTATATACAGAGGCGGGTGCGTATCTCTGCTGGAACAAGATAGTGGTCCGAGTCGATGTTCGGAGTGTACGCACGTCAAGAATACTGGAGACATGTCTCCCATCTATCACAACATAATCGATATGGTTTCGTGTTTTTCAATCAGGGACATGCCAAGTAGCTTGATGAATTTTTTGGAGCCGAAATATAGTTAATACTACAGACAACCAAATTCCAGGTTCGGGCTAACGCGATCAGCCTCAACCCATTAGGGGATGCTTTGCTGTGGAGGCTGAATTTTCCAACAGTCATAGCAAAGATACCTTTCTTTTTCTTCTTTTTCTTATTTGTCCACCCTGGAACTAAGATCGCCAAGCACGATTTTCACATCGTTTCGGGGGGCAACGCTCGTAAGTATGTTCTAGGCGCAAATAAAAGGCATCCTTGACCAAATCGTCCTTCTCTTCCGTCGGTGCGTGGGCGCAAATCAACGATATACTGAAAAATTTCGCTTTGATGTGGATTGTGGTGATGCGCTCATCCCAACACCAATCCAACACCAAATTCGCACTGCTTTATATGGTCGCTTTAGTAAATGTCACAAGAACCTATTCGCTTGCCTCCTTGTCCCGCCCATCGCACTTCTTCCGAGAATGTCAACCAACTGGGCAGCAGTACCTCCTCAATGAAGGGACCGAACACAAGTGCATGCGCTCAAATCCATAATTCGTTTGAAGGGATCATCAACAGAAAGGAGGTATCTCATCAGAGGTGTCACTAAATTTTTCATTGGTATCTACGTGGCGGGTCACAAACCCAGCCAAATTTGCTGTGGAAATACTCAAAGCTTGAGTCAATGGGGTGTAAGAAAAAAATATAATTACACATTAAACTCGATCAAGGAACCTCTGAAACGAAAGAATAATAATAATAACAATTTCGGTCAAAAGTAAAATGAAAGAAACAATTTTAGACCCGCGTTGGCATGATCAAAAACCTATAATTTTTCACACTCTTGATTTCATAGGAAAATATTTTTTCACATAGGAAGGATTTGAGCGTTAGCTCCAAATAATTTTCAATTATTTATTTATGCAAATGGGAAATGGTTAATACATACAAATATACGTATGTATAATACCCGTGATTAAGAGTCCATTTAATTAGTTTCAAATAATTTTATGTAATTATTACAAACATATAGAGACAGTATGTCTGAGTATATATTTTTGATGTAATGAAACACTAGAGATAAAAACAATAAAAATATATAAAACAATTGACGTCAATAAAAAGAGGACAACAAGCCAGCGGTAGTGGCAAATGTGAAACGATATTTGACACGCAAGAATATATTTAAACATCTATAAGTATTTACGAGAATATTGACTTTTTACCAACAAATACATTTTCATTTTTGATAAGAAACTTTTATTTTATTTCATGTAAAGAGTGGGGGATAACAACCATCTTTTAATTTACCTTACATTTACTATAAGCACCTACATACATAAATGCATACATATGTATATAATTAGATAGAAAAATAGGTATGTCTTCTTCTACTGTACCATCGTAGACACCGCTTACGCAGTTATGGCCGAATTAACAATAACTCGCCTTTCATTTCATCATGTCCCTGGCGTCATTGGAAATACCAAAGCTGGAGTATGCTCATCCATCCGGTCCAGTGTGGTCGTTGTCTCTTGATTCGCTGAGATATGTAAATGTTGTCGCATATCCCGTACAGAACATCGTTCCATCGGCTGTGGTATTCGCCGTACCCAACTCGAGGAGACCATAAATCTTAATCAAAACTTTCCTCTCGAAAACGTTCAACTCCCACGGCTAGACGCTGTTATTGTTCATGCCTCCGCATCATATATATAGCAGGACGAGAACAATGCACACATCGTAGAATATTGGTTTGCTCGAATTAGGATAACTTTATTTTTGAATACCCTACTCAGTCCAAAGTAGCACCTATGTACTATACTACGTCCTGCTATAACATCTAATGAGCCGGCGTTTTAAGTTGGAAAGAGTGATTTTGTTTGCGTTTTATTTCCAGGCCGATATTGTTGTTAGTGTTAATACTGACGAAGTTACCTACAACTCCAAAGTTATGACTGCCAACAGTGATGGTATTACTGTCTTACCCTAATTCAATGCCACAGCCAGCTAACGAAGGCGGCTTTAAAATCAACGAGATTTGATGTGTGTCAATCCTCTTTTCATGGGTCAATTCCAAGATTTAATGTATGTTGAATATCTAGTCAATTGTAGATTTTCCAGGTCTAAAGCCAAAGTGATAAAGTCGAATCAGTTCGTTCACGCTGAGCCTTGGCCTTGCTCATACGCACCGTTCGTTGTTTTTCAGATAGGCAATTGATATTTGAGCTTCTTTATAGTCGGACAATTAATCATCTGTTCCATCGTCAACGATTGGGGAATAAGGTTCGTCACTGGTGTCTACTGGTGTTCTTACTGCCATTTAGAAGGCTGGAGAAGTGTTGCACCTTAAATTCAGTATACGCTCGGTATTCGTCCAGATTATGCTCCTATCTTGAAACCGTCTGTCAGTTGGCGCATCTTTTCGCAGAATTTTCGGGCTTTACCCATGGCGGCCAGCTGCTCCAGCTCTTCATACTCACGCAACTCGGTCTTTTTTATTTTTTTTATCTGCAAATACGTCTTGCTTCCCTATTCAATTATCGGTACCTATTCCTCTCCACACGTAACGTGCGTGGTTGGCAGCCTATTTTCTATCCACTACGGCACTGGAATACTCATCGTGCCAGCTGTTTTCTCGCGTTTTCTTCTTATCATTTAGATTTAATTACGAATTTCAGTTCTCAAAGAAAGTAAGGCTTTGTTGAGTAAGCCCTCACACATACATATATTCGAGTACGTGTGTGTGTAATATAATAAGAACTGAAGAAATTGCACCTATTTCACACAAATCTATCAGTTCGTTGAGAATTATGACAATTTCTTCACATTAATGACTCGTCTTTGCATTCAGCAATTCATTTTAAATGAGACTTACAACCAGATTGATGTGAAAGGGTTTTTGAATAAGGGCAGACCGAATATTGCAACAAAAACTTCTATGGTTTTGTACATAAGTATTTCCTTTGGAGACAGCGAAACGAATTATAATCAAAAATTTTTGAAAAGAAAAACAATATTTCGTATTTTACTATATAAGGACGTACATCTTCTCACAAACACCAACACCCTATATGAATTATGCAAATTCACAACCAGAAGTAATTAATGAAGTGTTGATGTTGTTCTAATAGGAAGCTAATTGCTTTGTTTAAGATTAATATGAATGAGATTATTAAGCAAAAATTCACACTCAATTACTTTGATTACATTGCGATTCTTCCAATGACACAGTGGCATCGTGAAGAATGTTCTAATGATACAAAAATTGAGAGATGGTTTTATTTCGAAACTCTCGCTAATTTATATATCCTTTGTTCTGAATGACTGATAGATCAATTCATAGTCAAAACCACTGACCTCACAGACTTCAGACTTGGAAGGGGTAATCTTCGTATGACGTAAACATCCGATAACAAATAATTTGCACAAAATTTGATTCAGAGGTGGCTCTTTCTCTAGATACACATGGAGAACACGTTTTCTTCCGGAGAGTGTATCTGGTCCAAGCGATTTAAGGCCGCGCTTGTGCCATACTGGAGTACTGATACAGAATCTAGCTAGGATTATAAAAAAAAGAAAATTTCATTAAATTCGGTTAAGCCGTTTCGGGGGAGTATCGTTCTAACACTGTGACATGAGGGTTTTTCAATAGAAATGATAGGAAATGAAATGGCTTTTTTTGGAATAAAAGATCGGTTTTTTATATATATGTAATGAAGAAGATATGCCTATAATTAATGAAAAACAATATCAGTCAAGGTAGCCCTACACGACTTACAAGTGTTTTCAATCGGTATGTAGGCGAGTGGAGATTTACTCGTGTATGGGCTTGTGCGCATCCCAATCCATATTGGCGAAAGCTTTCGATTTTTTGCAATCGGTGTGCGCACAGGTTTGTCGTGTATGCTGCTGTGTGCGCACAAAAGCTCATTTTACTCGTGTCGTCGAACAGTAAAAATCGAGGAAGAACATGGCATGTTTACTCTTAAAAGAATAAGCTTAAAATGAATTGGTATGTCGTGTATGGCTACATTCAAATCGGCGCCACTGCTACGCTTACGGGACCAAGTCCACAATCAGCAAAGACACGACGTTGTTGGTGGTCGGTCAGCTTGAGTTCTTGAGTTAACTTAACTTTATAAGCCATAAGGCTTGGGTCTTCATGCAAAATTATTCCAAAGAAGGAAACCTGGGTTAACTTCAATATTTTGGGCTACAACACGAGTTTTCTTTTTCTTTTGTCCCAATAGCTTCATTTTTTCCACCAATTTCTGTATTGTGGACCGACGACCGAACCATTTCTGCCAGGTTTTTCACCACTTTTATAGTGAATTTTATTGATTTAAAAGTGTTGTTGACGCCTGCATCGTTTAAATCTTATTTATTACTGGCGTAGTTTTTACTTGTCAAATGACAAAAAATTACAGCTTCGATGGTCACATCCGCCTAAAAAGCAGGCTATTAAAAAACATCTCAGAAATACACTCGGAGGTTTCGGCACTCAAAAACTACTATCACATCATATAATCAAATTATATAATTTTTTTAAGTAATTAATTTTTGGTTTTCGATGGAAGGTGCATTCTAGAACATTCTGTTGGGTATACGCGATAAAACATTATGCCGACTCATGGGGAGAGTACTAATTTGGCCAAAAGCTCCATCAATGCATAGTACGGAGGTGTGAATGCTAAACAAACGTTAGTTGTTTTTTCGCACTGTTGTTGAGCTGAACACATTTTGGAAAGTAAGTGAGTTTGTACAATAAGCATGGTGATGTCAAATACATAAAAACAAAAACTTAAGTGGTTAATAACAGCTGATTTTAAGTATAGTTTTTGATACTGAAGCTCAAGATTCTGTTCGATGCTTTTTGAGCAACAATCACTCGCACAGTTCTTTATTGCTTATTAACCAACCTTTTCGATCTTTTCGAGCATTTTGAACAAAAATATAAAGTTTTTCAAGAATGTTTGCCTATAATTTTTGAATTTATCTATGGAGATTAAACATCAAACAAATATAAGGAGAAGCATTGCCTGACTATGAAGAAGTTCGAGCCACTAAATTATTAGAGCTGAAATAGAGTACCAAAAACAGAAAGCGTGAAGGTTCATTCATAAATATCTGCGCATTTCGGTATAAACCTGCAGACAACTGAGCAGAAGCAAAGACATATTTTCAATTATTCTGATAAGTGCTTAGATATATGTATGTATGTATGTATATTCGTGAAACTTGCTCTCATGCACTTTTAGCAGTGACGTCGTGTAGATCGATACAGCGTAGAGTGAGCTTATTTCTATGGCACTCCAAATATGTAAAGCATTACTCTCTGTTTATATTTACGACCATATACATACATATACATATAAATATATATATATATATATATAAGTGACCAAGCATTTTTCGCTTATCGGAGTATCTGGAATACTAGTTTATTTAGTAAATTCATTCAGTGTTTGCCTATCAAAACGTTTTCGTCTTTTTTATTGTACTAAATAAAACAACATTTACGAAAGGAAGAATAGAAACAATAGTAGGAGGAATGGCATTGGCTACTAAGAGCGTGGAACAGCCGCAGTCCGGCAGCGATCTTATTTTGGAAGGAAAACCCATGGACAAAGCGGTGAGTGTGGAATTCATGAAGAAAAAGAAAAGTACCTTCTTAGTGTTACATCATGCAAATTTTAATTCCTCTCGGATGTACTTTTTGATTAAAAATAACGCATTTAATAAATAAGTACTTGCCATTTCCTTAAGATGTGAACAATTTGAAATCTACAAGTAAAAATGATTTTCATAGCCATATAAAGGGTTTTCCAATCGGGATGTTATGATTTCTAAGCGTCGTTTCGGCCATTTTTAATATGTCACGATTGGGCTTTTTGTCAATGTATTCAGTCATGTTTACAATGTCATCATGGCAAGATATACGCAAGTTCAACGTTTACAAACAACAACAACAAATTGAATATGATAACGATCGTTTTAACAAAATCACCTTCTCCGTTCTGACTCATTTTCATCTGAGTGATGCGGTAAATAAACAAAACTGCCGACTCTGCAGCAAAGAGAATCCACAAATTATTCACGAAGAACCATTAGATTCACCTAAATTGACAGTTGGTCTGATGGAATCATAGGTCCGTTTCGAAATGAACCTTGTCGCATCGTTGCTGTCAATGGAGAGCGGTATAGATCGATGATAACCAAATTTGTATGTCCACAGTTGGAAGATGTTGATCTTAACAGCTATTGGTTTCAACAAGACGGGGCTACGTGTCACACAGCACATGCAACAACCGGATTATTACGAGAAATTGCCTCATTGAATGGCCTCCAAGAAGTTGTGGTTCAACTCCATTAGACTAATTGAGTTGAGTTGAGTTTATACGGCTGCTGGTCGCTACCAGCACACTTTGGCCAGTATGTCTATTTCGATACCGCTGACGCCCCGCCTTCGCCTTCTCAAATGATCGAATCATTTCGTATGCCTTATAAAGGCGATTAGATTTCCAATATTCGGTGAGGCTAACTCAGTGACACTCAGTGACTATCGGAGTATATTGTTACCGATTGCGCTGCTGTGGTAGATTTGTGCAACCACTCCGCGGCCTCCATAACTGCATAGAGTGCCGCCTGGAAAACGCTTAAGTGGTCTTGTAGTCTCATGCTCATGTTTAATCACAGCCTGGGAGAATAAATTCCGCATCGAATTCGTTTTGTCAAAGGAAGTCGTGGAGACCATTCGGCTTATGTTATATTTAGAACTGAATTGCATCGATTGTACTTCACATAAAATAAAAAACGAATAAAATTTCCTTAACAATTAATGTTTTTTTTTGTTTGTTTTAAATAAATCATATCACTCTTATTGGAAAACCCTCTATTTATCAACACCACATTAGTTCCTTAGTAATTGAATTGGCAGAAGTATTTTACGCTGTGTCATGCATTGGTCTATATTTATCTATTAGAGTTTCCTTATAAAATGATTTAATTTTTTCCATTTCAGAGGTGTAAGGCCGGAAATTTAAGGTTATCTTTATGTAATTGGACATCCAGGTCGATGATAATATTGCGTGAAGTTGAAGAAAAGATTTTATCCTTTATCAAAACTCCATATCGTGGATTCTTCGTAGATATTGGCCCGACCGTTGGCGACGCTGATAAAATATGGACCATCAGTATGAATACAGATTCAAAAAAAGAACCTCTGGTTCTGTTACACGGATTAGGTGCAGGAGTTGCTTTATGGGTATTGAATCTAGATTCTTTTGCTAAATATCGTCCCGTATACGCAATGGATGTATTGGGCTTCGGGCGTAGTTCTCGTCCTACTTTCTCTAAGGACCCACTCATCTCTGAGAAACAGCTTGTAAAGTCAGTAGAAGAGTGGAGACGGAAAATGAACATTAATAGAATGGTATTGTTAGGTCATTCAATGGGAGGATTCATCGCTTCAAGTTACGCACTATCATATCCTGAGAGAGTCAGTCATCTTATATTAGCTGATCCTTGGGGATTTCCAGAAAAGCCTGCTGACTTCCTTACCACAAAACCCTTATGGCAAAGAGCATTGGTAAATGCTATAAAACCATTGAATCCACTGTGGCCATTACGTGCGGCGGGTCCATTTGGTCAATGGATGCTACAAAAAGCGCGACCGGATATTATAGATAAGTTTGAATCAGCTGTAGAAGATAATACCAAGCTGATACCGCAATATATTCATCAATGCAATGCTCAAAAGCCTTCTGGTGAGTCGGCGTTTCATGCTATGATGGCTTTGTTTGGTTGGGCAAAATATCCGATGGAACATCGTTTGAAGGATCTTAGAGTGGATATACCTATAACTTTCATATATGGATCGGAGTCGTGGATGGATTATTCCTCAGGTGAAACAATTAAGGCTCATCGTGTAGATTCCATAGTCGATATAAAAATGGTAGACGGTGCGGGTCACCATGTGTATGCAGACAAAGCAGACATTTTTAACCGCTATGTTAATGAGGCCTGTGAATTATATAAAGCTTCTGCAACAAACATCGACGTACGTGATACGACGAAGTCGGATAAAGAAGTAAATGATGGCACTTTACAAACTGAAACGCAACAAATAACAGTGCATAGAGATCAAAATTCAGAACATACTCTGTCTGATGGTCAGCACACCATGGGGCTGCAACAGGCCTGAAACATCAATAGCTTACCAAAATATCTGTATATGTATATGTATAGATCCGTATTAATCAATGTATATCATCCCATTAATATGTTAAAAATATGATTTATGCATAAAGAATCCTTATTGTAAATACAAGTAGACGCTTTAGCGAAATGCCGACGGCAAATCAATACTTTTTGAGGGTAAATAATCGATATTTACTATACAAATAAGTAAAATGTAAATCAAGAAATTTGAAAAATAAATGATTTAATTCGAAAAATTTGACTCTTTCATCGCTATTCTGAAATTTGTCGGTTATACCACAACATCCCAAAAGTCCTTGCACATTTAATTTCATTTTTTACACAAAACTTAGTACAGTTTTTTGATCCATTTTTCCGAATAGTAAAAAATCGAAAAGCACACCAAAACACGACTAACCCTTTTATCTGTCAAAAAAAAAACGACAATCCAAAATGGCTGATATTGCCAACATATGTATATATATAACAGAAATGTGTACGAACATAACAGCAAAAAAGCTAAAATTGAACATACGAGACTCATGAAATTTGAATATAACGGTTATTTTCTGATCACACCTGACGCAATACAGTCAATTGTACTTAAGGAATTATAAAAAAAATAAATATTATATTTGATCCAGGAACAAGTTATCCATTATTTCTGCATTAAATTGAAGCCTTTATTCGCCATAATTTGACTTATCCGACTTTATTTCTCTCCCATAGAAATCCTTATCCGTATTACAATATTTTTTTGGACAGTATGTCTGAGTATAAATGTTTGACTGTATACGCAAACAAAATTTTATTGTAATGAAACACTAGAGATAAAAAACAGTAAAAATATATATAACAATTGAAGTCAATAAAAAAAGAGGACAACAAGCCAGCGGTAGTGGCAAATGTGAAACGATATATGACACGCAAGAATATATTTAAACATCTATAAGTATTTAGGAGTATATTGACTATTTACCAACAAATACATTTTCATTTTGAACCACCTTCGAACGGCTGGTGGAATTAAATGAGAAACTTTTATTTTATTTCATGTAAAGAGTGAGGGATAACAACCAACTTTTAATTTACCTTACATTTACTATAAGCACCTACAAACATAAATGCATACATATGTATATAATTAGATAGAAATATAGGTATGTCTTCTTCTACTGTACCATCGTAGACACCGCTTACGCAGTTATGGCCGAGTTAACAATAACTCGCCTTTCATTTCATCATGTCCTCGGCGTCTTTGGAAATACCAAAGCTGGAGTAAGCTCATCCGTCCGGTCCAGTGTGGTCATTCATCGGCTTTGATATTCGCCGTTCGCAACTCGAGGGGACCATAAATCTTAATCAAAACTTTCCTCTCGAAAACGTTCAACTCCCACGGCTAGACGCTGTTATTGTTCATGCCTCCGCATCATATATTTAACAGGACGAGAACGATGCACGCATCGTAGGATATGGGTTTGCTCGAATTAGGATAGCTTTACTTTTGAATTGCCTACTCAGTCCACAGTAGCACCTAAGCACTATACTACGTCCTGCTATAACATCTAATGAGCCGGCGTTTTGAGTTGGAAAGAGTGATTTTGTTCTGAGTTTTATTTCCAGGCCGACATTGTTGTTAGTGTTAATACTGACGAAATTACCTACCTCTTCTAAGTTATGATTGTCAACAGTGATGGTATTACTATCTTACCCTAATTCAATGCCACAGCCAACTATCGAAGGCGGCTTTAAAATCAACGAGATTTGTTGTGTGTCAATCCTCTTTTCATGGGTCAATTCCAAGATTTAATGTATGTTGAATATCTAGTCAATTGTAGATTTTCCAGGTCTAAAGCCAAAGTGATAAAGTCGAATCAGTTCGTTCACGCTGAGCCTTGGCCTTGCTCATACTCTTATAGTCGGACAATTAATCATCTGTTAAATCGTCAACAATTGGGGAATAAGATTCGTCACTGGTGTCTACGGGTGTTCTTACTGCCATTTAGAAGGCTGGAGAAGTGTTGCTCCTTAAATTCAGTATACGCTGGGTATTCGTCAAGATTATGCTCCTATCTTGAAACCGTCTGTCAGTTGGCGCATCTTTTCGCAGAATTTTCGGGCTTTACCCATGGCGGCCAGCTGCTCCAGCTCTTCATACTCACGCAACTCGGTCTTTTTTATTTTTTTTATCTGCAAATACGTCTTGCTTCCCTATTCAATTATCGGTACCTATTCCTCTCCACACGTAACGTGCGTGGTTGGCAGCCTATTTTCTATCCACTACGGCACTGGAATACTCATCGTGCCAGCTGTTTTCTCGCGTTTTCTTCTTATCATTTAGATTTAATTACGAATTTCAGTTCTCAAAGAAAGTAAGGCTTTGTTGAGTAAGCCCTCACACATACATATATTCGAGTACGTGTGTGTGTAATATAATAAGAACTGAAGAAATTGCACCTATTTCACACAAATCTATCAGTTCGTTGAGAATTATGACAATTTCTTCACATTAATGACTCGTCTTTGCATTCAGCAATTCATTTTAAATGAGACTCACAACCAAATTGATGTGAAAGGGTTTTTGAATAAGGGCTGACCGAATATTGCAACGAAAACTTGTATATACTCGTACATATGTATTTCCTTTGGAGACAGCGAAACGAATTATAATCAAAAATTTTTGAAAAGAAAAACAATATTTCGTATTTATCTATATAAGGACGTATATCTTCTCACAAACTCCAACACCCTATATGAATTATGCAAATTCACAACCAGAAGTAATTAATGAAGTGTTGATGTTGTTCTAATAGGAAGCTAATTGCTTTGCTTAGGATTAATATGAATGAGATTATTATGCAAAAATTCACACTCAACTACTTTGATTACTTTGCGATTCTTCCTAATGACACAGTGGCATCGTGGATAATGTTCTAATGATACAAAAATTGAGAGATGGTTTTATTTCGAAACTTTGGATAATTTATATATCATTTGTTCTGAATGACTGATGGATCAATACACAGTCAAAACCACTGACCACACAGACTTCAGACTTGGAAGGGGTAATCTCTGTATGACGTGGACATCCGATAACAAATAATTTTCGAATGATTTATACGAAATTTGATTCAGAGGGTGATCTTTGTCTAGATTCACATGAGGAACAAGTTTTCTTCCGGAAAGAGTACTTGGGATCGAACTATTTAGGCAAATCGTATTTATGGTTCGAGTTGCTAAATATTTGGCACATATATTCATACATATGTAAATACTTTTTTTCCAAGGTTAATATGGAGAAACTACTTTTTCCGAGAAGTGGATCGATGATTGAGCTTATTGAAAAAAAATTGAATAAACCCAGCCCAACAACAAATCTTTCTAGAACCATCTTTCAATTCCATGGGGACGATCTTCAGGACGAACTCTGGTACTAAATAAAATGCCGAAATCTTTATTTTTTTATTTTAATTTCAATAAATTTTATTGGCTTTAAATATTTCTTTATGCAAGGAAAATGGGTTTTTTCTGGTAGAACGAAAAGGTAGAATGTCAGGTAGTTATGAAGACGGTTGCGTAGAGATGACGAAACTACCTTAAAATTATTGTATCATGGTTCTGGTAATGAAATTTGCTGTCGCAAATGTTATTAAAATCTCACATATCAAATGCATTAAATATCAAATAAATTTAGTATCATTATTAGACAAATTGGCTTTCATTCGAGTGCATAGCAGATCACAAAAACGCTGCAAACATGTTTTTTGATTTTGATTAGATGATATATTGATTATTTAAAACTGAAGAAAAACACCGAGGTTGTTATAAGCTGATCGATTTTAATTTAATACCATTGATTATATAATTACAGTATTGTAACTTATGACCTAAGGGGTTACATAGGTCTTGAAGGCCAAAAAAAAGCTTATTTTCTGTAATTTTTCTTAAAAGAAACTAAATAAAGTATAAAATTTATGTTGTTTACATATAAAAGTGCGATATGTGAACAACATTTGATGAAAATTTAAATGATAAATATTATAAGTTAAGGCGTTAGCAGTATCGTGAATTAGATCTTCCACAAAAAAGTGCTTTCGCGGTAGTCATGATAACTTTTTCAATTTTTATCTGAAATAAAAAATCTAAATTTTTTCTTAAAGTAGGTGAATCTTCCTTGTCCCTTAACGAAGAAAAATTAAAAAAATTAAAAATTGATTTTTTTGTATCGTTTTTTACAAAAAAACGTCATTTTTTCCATAAAATTAGGCCACATATCGGCTTGTAAAATGAGTTCAAATCAAAGATAAAAAAAATCCTTCGTTCAGGGGCTACAAAAACATGCTTAAAAGAAGTGTGGAAAAGTTGAGAAATTTTGACCACCGATTTCGCTAAAATAAGCTTAAGAAAAACGCGTTTCAAGTTTTGTCATCGGTTAAGCCATGACGAAAACGGCGGGTTATAAAACCCTCTATTTTCTACAGTTACGTCTCGATCGACTTGAAACTTGGGGAAAACATTCCTGACACTTTGTACTTTTACACAAAAAATGATCAAAAAAATGATGTTTTTGAAGTTTCAAGACCTGTGTAACTCCTTAATTCAAGTATATTCACAGAAAAACTTCAGCATCATGCCAGGAACCCATACAAAAAAAATTTCAATACTGGAAAATTCATTTACCAGGTTAATAAATATATTCGGTGTATTTTAAATTTCATCCAGCGCTTAATATATCAAGGCCTAAACGCAAAAATAGTCTAAGCTACCAGAATATGAAAAGGAATGTTTATTTTAAATAAAGGATGCTCCACAGTGTGTAAAGCAAATTGTCACGAAAGTCGATGAAATAATGGTGAGCGTCAAGTCCGACCATCATACGAGCGCTGTTTCGATTTCCCAGAGGCTAAACATTGCATGAAAAATTGCAAACGTCGAACGAAAACGTCGGCGGACGAAGGGCGGTGAGCCGGCACAAACGGTCTCCAAGCCAGGATTGACAGCCAGGAGGAGGGTTTTTTGTGTGTTTGGTGGTCATCCATTTACAGGAGTACTCGTTCAGAAGCGCCCGAATTTGGCCAACAGGAGGACACCAGATCATACACATCGTCAGTCATTTTGAGCCTTCTGCCATAAATTGTTAAGATTCGTTTTGTTCGATTGGGTTGAGGTTTGCTGGTTGAGAAGGCCTGTTCCAGTGCTTCCGCTGCTTATGTTTTGAAGCGAAGCTTTAGCAACACGAGAAGTTATTATCTTGCTGAAGAATGACGTCCGACACATTCTTGCCGCACACTTCTAGGCTTCTGCACAAACCTTGTTGAAGAATGTCAACTTATTAGTTGGAATCCAATTGCTCTATAAACATGCTCTCCAACCCCTTCCAGTCCCATACATCCCCACTTCATTGCATTATCCTCTACAAACTTCAACATTGGTTGAACAATGCGACTAGTCAAAGGTTGACGAAGTTTTCTCCAAGCCTATTGCCGCCCGTCTTTTCCCATATGACTCGGATCCAGTCATTTTGGATGCAGGTTTTATATATTTTTGCAAATTGGAGCCTCAATTTACAGTGTCATTTTGTCAATGGTGGTTTTTTTTTCTTTTACACGTCTGCACAATCCGTTTTTCCGCAATCCGTTTATCCGCAATTTCTTCCTGGTAGCTTTCTTTGTTACATTAATTCCATCACCATGGAAGAGATCACACCTGATTTGGCCTGCATTTTCATGAACACCAAACTCTATCTACCATGGGTCTTTCCACTGTGGCATTCAAAATTTGGCATTCGTCCAATATCAGTAGGTCTATTTTCCACACCGGGAAGAGGACCTGGGACTGATATATTCCCAAAATTTGAATTCATAATTCGATTTACTTGAAGCTTGGTACATTTTTAGCCTGGAGTAATACCTAGGACCGAATTATGGTTTGGCTGAAGATATAAAAATTTTCGGAAGTAGACCAAGGGTCACCGAGCTTGATCCATTTCATAGCCCGATAGATGGCATTATTTGTTGATTTAAGAAGAAGCTTTTTTAAGCGCGTTCGTGAATAAAAGCCGAGCAATTCCAATTATCATTTCAATGAATTCTGCAGAATACATATATATGTATATAGTATCCGGGTGAGAGAAAAAATAACTCTCAAAACGAGACATGTGGATAATTTTTAAACGCTCAATGAGAAACTCTTAACTTAAAAAGGATGTATAGTTTTTCCTGGATTGAAAATGGAAAATAGTAAGAAAATTGAAATAAAATTAAATTTTAATAAAAATATTATTAAACAAAATAAATTTTTGTACAATAAGTTTTTCATTTTAAAAAATAAATTTTTGTAAATAATTTTTATATTTTTGTAAAATAAATTTTTCATTTTAAAAAATTAATTTTTGTAAAATAAGTTTCAAATTTTGGAAAATGAATTTTTGTAAAATAAGTTTTTAATTTTAAAAAATTAATTTTTGTAAAATAAGTTTCAAATTTTGAAAAATGAATTTTTTTTAAATACATTTTTCATCTTGAAAAATAAATTTTTGTAAACTAAGTTCCAAATTTTGAAAAATAAATTTGTGTAAACTAAGTTTTTCATTTTAAAAAATAAGTTTTTGTAAAATACGTTTTTTATTTTGAAAAATAAATTTTTGTAAAATAAATTTCATATTTTTAAAAATAAATTTTTGTAAAAAAAGTTTTTCATTATAAAAAATAAATTTTTGTAATATAATTTATAATTCGTTGCATTTTTCGATAAAAATGCTCTACAGTGCAGCTCCTACAATTATTTTTTTCACATTTTTAAACGATCTCAATAATGTTCGCCATTACTATTTCACTATCTCAACAATCACTTCTTTACATCATTTCGCAAAACATTTGCATTGTTTACGTTAATGACGGCGGATGTCTACGCGCAGAGCCAGACTTTACTTTTTCAGCGCTAAGAAAGGATATTCGAAATTTAAGTGAGGCGCCCGCAACGATACCTGCACATAATTACTAAATACACCACGGAAATTTGAAATTTAAATACATACATAACTACAATAAGAACAATAAACACATGTCCAGAAGATTAGCATACCGCCAGGCAAACACAACAGAGAGAGCGAGAAAGAGAGAAAGTGAGATAGAGAAGATTATATCCTAGGTAAAGCGCTGCCTTGGCAAAGGATATAGAGTGCAATTCGTGGAAGTAAACATAAAAATTTCCAGACACATATGCCATAAATGTGTTGTACACTCATAGAAAAATATCCATTGCGGAATGCATTGACCGCCAGGACATGCGAGTTTATAAATAGAGAGCGGAGGACACTGACAAGCAGTCGTTGCTGCTCAACCACAGAAGCAATACATTCTCAGGGAAAACGATCGTCAGGTGTTTCAAAGAAAAAATGAACAATTTTACATTACGAAATCTTGGGCTTGTCCTAATTTTAACAATCGGAAGTCTGCATGCGGTTCCATTAGATGCAAATACAGACGCGCAGCAGCCAACGGCGGAGATCACTGCAGCAGTCGCAAGCGATGCTGGCGATGGCACACAGAATGTGGCACAGGGAAATCAAACGGAGCTGCAGGCAGCTGCCAGTGAACAAAACACGCAAAATGTTGCTATGGTATGTACCACACGCCCAAATACGTATTTAGAAATATAGTTTAATGCGTTATCCAAATTTAGTTGCAGGCCCCACCGCAGGCAGCCAATTCGGCCAACATCGATCCGTCCAGCGCTGCCACTTCCCTCTACGCCAGTTTTCTCACACCAGAAGCCATCCGACAGTATATGAGTCAGTTCGGTGCCGCCTATCCCGGTTTCGCGGCTTATCCGGCACCGATTGGTTATGCCGCCGCAGCTGCACCACCTGCACCACCATCAGCTGCTGGCCCCATCTATCCCGGTCCGTATGTTGTACAGACTGGCTATGAAGGATATTTAGTGCCTAGTACAAGTGGTGCTTTAGCGGAGGGCAGCTCAACTGCACAGTACAATGGCAACTCGCTGCTCAGTCCTTTGAGTTATTTGACAAATCTCTTCTCGGTTATGATGATGTCCGCACTGTTCCGCGTTATTGCCACTGTTCTAGGAGCTATTGGTATGATATTCTTTGGTGGCGCTCTAACTAGATTTATCTGCAGCTTCACACCGGTTTGTAATGTCACCAACACTGCTGTGGAATATTTGAAGAGTGAGGGTAATGCAGAACGTGTAGGACGTATGATAGCCGAGGGTATGACGCCGGAACGTGTACGACGTGCTAGTGCATTCGTGCAGAATGCGTTAAAGAAATATCACGAGCTGCAAATGTTGGTTGGCAGTGAGGAGAAGGACGACTAAGACTAAACACTATGAAAGGAAATTTGAAAGTGAGGCGGTAAATTTCTTAAAAGTATTTATTAAGTTATCCTTGAACTAAAAAAAAAAAATATTTGTTTGTGTAAATATTTCATTTAAAGTCGCATAAAATCGTAATATTAAACTTATATGTAAACAATTTTATGGAAACACTGCTGTGGAACTGATATTTGACAATCGAATTAGTAGTCAATTGTAATAAAAATATATGTATTATTCCAGCAAATAAGTTCTTTGTTGATTTCGACATAAAACAGCATAAAAAAAAAAAACAAAAAAAAAACTTTTCTTTTTTCGCACTAGTGATAGAAAAATAGACAATTCCGCCAAAAACAAACTTGCAGTTAAATACATATAAACATATCAATCAGCCTAGCCTAGCCAACTTTGCTTCCGCCGTTTTTTTTCCAAAATTAAAAGCTTTATTGCGAAAAAGTGCTTACAGATATATTATTCAAAATATTGTCCTTCGCTGGCGACAGCTTCCCCGGCTCGAAAAAGGAGTCCTCTTTTGACGCTATCCATGAAGCAATCCATTTTTCCAATTCTTCAAAGGATTGAAAATGTTGATCTGCCAGGCCGTGTGCCATCGAACGGAATAGGTGGAAGTCAGAAGGGGCGACACCTGGGGAATACGGCGGTTGGGGCAAGACTTCCCATTTCAGCGTTTCCAGGTACTCTTCGACCACTTTTGCGACGTGAAGACGAGTATTGTCGTGTTGGAGGATGACTTTGTCATTTCGCTCTTGATATTGTGGCCGCTTTTCTCTTAGCGCGTGACTAAGGCGCATCAGTTGCGTTCGGTAGCGATCTCCTGTGATGGTTTCACCCGGTTTTAAGAGCTCGTAGTAAATCTTTGAAGGTTTTTTCTCTTCCACCACTATGTTTGTCCTCGACATCGAAATCACCATTTTTAAAACGTTGAAACCACTCCCGACACGTTCTTTCACTTAGAGCAGCATCACCGTAAGTTTCTGAGAGCATTCGATGCGTTTCAGCTGCATTTTTTTTCGAATTGTAACAGAAAAGTAAAACTTCCCGCAAATGGTGAGAATTAGGCACATAAACGGACATTTTCGAGCGTGAATAATACGAAAACAAGAAGAACTGTCACTGAAACGGCGATGACAATTCGTTGGGCACTGTCCACACTCACTTTAAAGGCATTATCATCTATGTATTTCAACCAGCCTCAGCCGGTACAGCCACCTATCAGAAAACGGCGGAAGCAAAGTTGTACACCTAACAAATTTCTAGGAGTCATCTTAGACAAGAAGGTAAACTGGAAAGATAATATAATCCAAGGATGCGAGATGGCAGCTACTGCTCTATACATGCAAAAGAGCAAGAGGTAAGAAATGAGGTCTAAGCCAAAGGATTCGCCGCTCGTTCTACGTATCAGTAGTACGACAAACGCTCCTTTATGGGATGCGATCTTGTCTTGACCAGCAATAAATAAACCTTCAAATCCTAACTTCATAGATTAGGTTCAATAAAGTGCGTTAATCTGTATCAGTTGTGCACTTATGTCTTGCCACTGGACTGTACTGCTCTGGACTGGACTCAACTTCGTGTAAGGGAATTAAATTAATGGACTACCGAGCCATGCGGGCATTCGGCGATACTGGATAAATAAAATACCGAAGCGTTCAAATAGTATTTACTGTAAACTCCATCAGATAACGAATTCCCAGCAGGGAAGAATGGACAGTTGTTTTCAATACTCTAAGGGATAGCCTGGATATGTACACGAACGGGTAAAAGCTTGAGGAGAGAGTTGGTGGAGGTGTCTTCTCAAAAAACAGGCTGCAAAGCAAATTGGAGCTAGCTTTAAGGATAAGGATAAAGCACTCGCTTACGCTAAACTACTAATTAGCGCTGGACTATCGCCCAGCTCTACAGGAGATGGCCAAACAGAACAGACGACTGTCTGTGACGGGGATCCTGGTCATAGGGATATCGGGGGAAACTGTAAGGTGAATGAACTTGCTAGGCAAGGCACGACCAAGCAGATTCTATTCGATAAAGAACGCATTGGTATGCCTATTGCCACTTCCCAGCTCTTTCTCAAGGAATTTATATTATGTATGTATGTACAAACCGGGCACGCATGACTGAACTGGGTTAGGAAGAGATATGTACTCCTTAAAAAAAGGTGGGCATAAGAAAGTTATAGGAGGTCTAACAGGCCACTGTCTGGTAGGACGACACGCGAAAGGACTAGGAGGTCCCTATTGCAGACGTCGCAGAGGCGGCAGGAAGGATGAAGAGGAGGATACGATTACCCAACTCTTACTGTCTTGCTTTGGGCAAGGCTAGGTTTCCCAAATTTTGGGACCCTATTGCTGCGGTCGCGGTAGCCGAGTGGTTAGCATTGCGTACTGCCATTCAAAAGTCTCGGGTTCAAATCCTGGTATCACACTAACATCCAAAAAATTAATTAAATAAAAAATTAAGCTAAATTTTCTAATTGCGGTCTCCCCTTGGCAGCGAATGTCAACCCCTTCGAGTGTTTTTCTGACATGAAATAAAGCTCCTCATAAATAACCGTTAGCCGTACGGAAACGCCTTAGTACAAACTGTGCGTCCCTCCATTTGTTGGAAAAATATGAAGACGCAAAACCACAAATTGGAGGAGGAGGCCTGCCAAAGTTCATTAGAGAATCAAATGGATGGTTAAGTTTTTGTGGTTGGTTCTTAGTCAGGCTCACACGAATACTTGTACTTCTTTTTAAATAAGCTTTCTTAGCTACAAGCCTAAATTTCGGCAGAAAATTCCAGAACCCACCCTTCCACCTAGCCTTTTTTGCTGGTGTCTTCCAGATACCAACGCAAGCACAAGTATCCCTCAATGCTCTGAACTTAATAAAGTATTTGTGTATGATCTGTAGACTCGGGGATTAAGTCACGGTAGATTGATCGCACAAAAAGGTGAGTAGAGGATCGAAAGGAGTTAAGGCGTTAAAGAAGGTTGTATATACTATTTAGTGACTCGCATTCAATATAAAAAAACAGCGTCTTCTTGAAAGAACTTGCTTGAAAAGCCGACGGAATTTTCCATGCCAAATTTAAAATTTGAATCCGATTGAAATATACGAGGGAAGCATTATGTCACGCGTTTCAGGGTTGCTTCGAAATAGTTACAGTTATGCATCTGGGGAAAGCTATAAGAAAACCCGGCAAAACTTATACGGCTGTGTAAACTGACGCTGGACGACACCAAAAGCGCAGTCAGAATTAGGAAGGACCTCTCCGAGCCGTTCGGTACCAAACGAGGCTTGAGACCGGGTCAATCTATGTCATGTGATTTCTTCAATTTGATGCTAAAAAAATTATTAGAGCTACAGATATTAATTAGAAAACGGTACAATCTTTCACAAAAATGTACAACTGCTGGCGTATTGATATCGTCAGCCTTTAAATCCAACTAAGCATCACTCTTGCCAACAGGTGCTACTTCGGACTGAGTAGGCAATTGAAAAGTAAAGTGCTCTCTCGGCGAACGAAAACCAAACTCTACAAATTGCTTATCATTCCCTTCCTGTTATATGGTGCGTTAGCATGGACGATGACCACACCTAATGAGGCGGCTCTAGAAGTTTTCACTACAGAGTTTTTGCGTTAGTTTTTTGGTCCTCTACCGCAGCCGATGACATAGTTCAGCGAATAAAGACACAGCGGCTAAGCTGGCTAGGTAATGTGGTTCGGATGATAAGAATACTCCAGCTTTGAAAGTTTTCGATGCAGTACCCGCCGGTGGAAGCAGAAGAAGGTGAAGGCCTCCACTCTTTAGGAAAGTTGAATTGGAATGATGCAATGTTATAAAATCGGATTTAATCGAATAAGCGGCGTTTACGCTAGTAAATAAAAAGAAGAAGAAAAAGTAACGCAATCTTACCTTTCTTATCCCGGATTTGAGATTTTGGCTCATAAGCTCGTCGAAAAAGTACGTACAAATGTAAAAAAAAGATTATTTAAAATTAATAAATATATACTCCTCCAACACATTTTTCACATATGAGAAATAATAGTTTATGCTACCATAAATTTGATATGGTCATGAAAGGTCCAAGCACTTCGACATGACCAGCATGGATAGCTCTTATTTAATGAATATTTTTCCATGAGATTATTTTCCTTACTGAAAATATGGCCCTTATCTCCTCTTTTTGTGGCAATTACTCTAAGTTTTTCGCTAATTATTTGAGTTTATAAAAGGCTTATTTTTTGATTGCTGAAATGTGCTCAATTAGTTAATTGGATGTCTGTGTGAACAGCGCTTAAAATGACAATGAAATAAAAATAATCTCGTTTGGTGTGTGTAGATAGTTTGTGGGATCTAAGGATAGGAGAACAGTTCTGAAGTATTTTCAAAATATCATCAACCGACTAATATAACTGAAAAAAATTCAGAACTATGTTAACTAGTTTTCATAAAAATGTTTAAATTTTCACGAAAGTTTGGTCAATTCAATGGGTGATATATGGTGGAATTCTCCATTGTGTAACGACGATTTTCGGACCATTGAAATAATTTAGCGAGAATTTTAACGATTTTAATATTCACTGTGCTTATTTTAACAAAATTCGCTATCGCTTGATCAGCTGTAGTCGTAAACTACTCGACAAATCACTAACTAAGCGAGTGATGTAACAACAAAACCAACTACAAAATATTATTATTTTATTAAGCTTAAAGTAAAGTAAAGTAGATCGATAAATTAGCTAAGCTTTATAAAAATAAAAATAAAAATAAAAATAAAAATAAAAATAAGAATAGAAGAATAAACAAAAATTACTTTTGAGGATTTGGCATACTTTCGATCCCAAGAAGAGGAGGGATCGTAATCTTTACCATTGGATATAAGTTTGCATCGTTAAATAGAAGACGCTCTCCTCTTCAATACAACTGAGTTTCGTTCTATATAGATTAACCATAGATTAAGTTTTAGAATCCTCTCTCCACTTGATATCCAACTATAAGGCAAAAGTATAACAGAAAGATCTGCAGCGAAACGGGTAGTATTTAATATAAATTTTTATATTTTTTTAAGTGCTAACACTACTAAAATGCTTAAAAGTTTCGGCCGATTTGCGATTGTTCACAACTGGATGAGGGCGAGAGGAAATATTTATGAGTCAGTCGTCACCATTATCATGAGCCCGAGAAATCATGAACAAGTCCATGTCAATAACCATGATTACCATTCTATCAAGGCGCAAATGTGTAGACGAGATTTTTTTTTTCAATTATTATTATTATTATTACTGT